CGCATCCACAACGGCCTCCCCATTCCTCTTCAGTACCCTAATATCTCCAACTCTTTTGTTGCCGGAGGGCTTTAGACTTAATATTAATAAGTATATTAAAAGGGATAAATGCGATACAAAGATATGTGTCATAATATCATAGGAAAGATGACTTTTACAGAAACTGGACACGCCACATCTTAACAATTTCTGCACAATGCAAAAAGACAACCGACTGCCGACTACGTCTAAGCAATGTCAGGGTTGTCAAAAGTGAAAACGGAATGAGCCAATAATATAATACTATAATATGTTAAAACTTCCACACAATGGCTCCCCATTTGCTTAACTTCCTAGAAATATAACAATAAACAAGTTGAAATATAACCCAAAATATCAGACCAGGATAACTCTGTCTAGTTTTCTAGTTTTCTTTAGCTGTCTAGTTTTTTAATTCCTCACTGTTGGGTGCCTAAAGTTTTTAACATTTGTTTTTGTTTTAAACATGTATTTATATAATATTTATGGAAACAATTTAAATTATTTGACGTTAATGTTAACGACGTAAACAAAATTTATAAAGTTGTTGATATTTTATATACTTCGTAATATTTTAAATATTATTTACTATGCTAATTTGAATTTGCGTATATAAATCAATTTGTATTTTACTATTAAGAAACTTAAAAAAAGTGTTTTTCCGTAACCCAGCAACAAATCAGACTCAAACCCAAGCAAGTCTAATGTATTGCACTTATAAGCCCAAACTCAAAGAATTAACATGTCTCCTAGCTCTACCAGGATCACCAATCAGACCAGCTAAATGGTACTAAATTATTGTACTTTTTTCAGACATACATGATGCAAAATTTCAAGTCATTATAAGATTAATAAAAGTAGCTTACTCATGAGAATTATTAGATTACTTAGACACTTAGAATTTCATGTTCTTTTTTCTGATTTTCTCGAAAACGCGAGCTCTATGTCAAGGAAATTATATTGGATCGCCTCGTATTCTAGTTGTTACTTTAATATAATTCATTTTGAAACACATCAAACATACCTACTAAGTTCTTAAAAATAGCTGTAATAAACGCATACTACAAAAGTGCGTGTTTTTATCGGATGTTTGTAGCCCAAAAAAAAACATTTTATCAATCTTACCTTTCAAGACGCTTTTAAATAGTTCAAATAAATATTTACAGAAATAACATTATATTATAGCCATATTTGTTTTGTGAATATTACAGTTATTGGTATTTTTTATCTATATTTGATATACGACACTGGCTTCACTCAAGTTTATTAAATTATACGGTCAACGGCAACTGCTATAATAAGTTAAGACCGCTTTAGGAGTGAGGCTTATATCAAATGAACTTAGCTCAAGAACACAGCTTTTGTATGACTAGTAACGATGAAATATATAATACTCCAAGTAAATAATATATACCTATTACGTTCTAAGAAAATTAGGTAATCGTTAAGATTCAAATATATTATATATTCCATCTTTTTTACTATTAAACTAGCCATCATCTATTAAATTTGACGACACGTTTGGCTCAATTTGTATTGGCCCTACTTGCTGTGCCAACGGTCGCCGGTTCGAGTCCCGCTAGGGGCATTCATTTCTATGACGAGCACGAATGTTTGTACTCCAGTTATGGGTGTTTATATTTTTTTTTATATTTGTATGTATGTATTTAAAGTCATATATGTGTAGTGTATCAACCGTCCGGTCCATAGCACAAGCCTCGTAGCTTACTGTGGAACTAGGTGTTGTGTATTAATGTCCCAATATATTTATTTATTTATTAGCATTTAAAAGAGAATCTTTAGTGGATTCTATTCGAAAAAGATAAGATTTGAACTGATATTCTTTCTATCGTCCAAATAAACAGCGTCCGCGGTAAAGTCTTATATAAACATAATACATTACGACATAATTTAGTACTATCTTTACTATTTACTAATTCTTGTTATTATTAAAAAACTAAAATTTACTTCATATTTTATTATGTGTTGATATATTAGTACAACTTCGTACTCGACTTTTTATGATAATTAATTAATAATAACCTGATTCTCCATCTAAGATTGGCTCCAGACGAAGCGACTTCTCAGTGATCCTCAAAGCCTACCATGTCCATGACTTAGCTGCTGCTTCCAGCTTTCCTCCTCACGTTATCATCACAGATATGAAATTTTGTATAGGTACGTTTTCAATTATAATAGCTCGTTCTGAGGTCCAGCATGCCCTGGCTGCCCAATCTATGTGAGATCTTCGCAGCAGTCAACAGCACAGACACTAAATGTATACGCATTCAATTATGATTCAGTTGACCACCATAGACAGTTCGTTCGCACCATGACTTGTAAACACCATCATTCGTTTACTAAAAAAATTGATAATTAAGTAAGTAGTAAAAAACATTATTAAAAATAAGACTAGCGGCTCACCCTCGCTTCACTCGGGTTTGTCGCTAGGTACGTTTTAAATATATATAAATAGTTATTAGCCAGCGTTAGCTATATATATATATATATATATATTTTTGTTAATAATATTGACAAATAATACTCGTATTTATACAATTCTAACGTCACTCAATTGCCATCAATGTTTTGCCTTCCCGGAACCTCTCCACTAACACTTAAACTTTATGTTATGGTATTAAAGTTAGGAGTATAAAAAAGTGTAGTTTTTAGACTTTTTCAGACAATTTTTAAAATTTTTCCACCTTAATCCATCCTCGTACTTCAAGGAATATTCTAAAAAAAGAATTAGCAAAATCGGTTCAGCTGCTCTCGAGATTTGCGCTAACCAACACATTCAGCGATTTGTTTTTATATTATAGATTTATTTTAATGCACTAAAAAGAAGAAGAAATTTATATATTACATAGTAAAGTGTGGTCGCTAGTGATAGTCAAAAATAAACAGGTTTGATTAGTTAGGTATACGTTGTTCACATCGACCAAATTCCGAAAATCTGATACATGTCTATCTTAGCCTTTTCACACGCACGTCATGTTTGGCATCGCATTTTATTGAACATATCAAAATAATAAAAAAGAAATAAAAAGTATAAAATAATTATCAGCTAAATTTAAACTTATAAATTTTTTTTAGTAGTTAGTGTCTATCTGTGATTTTATATAGATACCCAGTATCGTCATATTACGGTTACATATGTGATACCAAACCGTCTGCCACAGTCCCAAAATATTGAAAATGTGAAAAAGTTTTGAGAAACATGGTAATTTTTTGGGACATTAACACACAGCGCATTCTAGTTCCATGGTAAGTTACGAGGCTTGTGTTCTGGATACCAGATAGTTGATACACTACACATATATAACTTTAAATTTACAAACATTCGTGTTCATCACACAAATGAATGCCCCCAGCGGGACCAGCGGGTAACTAAAAACTGAGCCAAACGTGTCGTCAACTTACCAACAGCCAACATAATATCCTATTTCAAATCACGAAAATAAAAAAAATATGTTTTACTGTATTATTAATTATATAGCACAAAATAAACGCGTGTCGCCCATGAGAACTCTACTTATCAATACACTAAATTGACCATTCACTCGTGGGGTGTTTTTAATGTTTATTGTAGGCCGATTTAAGCGTTTTGAGCTTTATCTTTTAGTTCTTTGCTTCCTTTATCTTTTACTTTTACAATTTTGATATTATTACCGCCGATATATCGTTACAACAAAAAATTATAGTGGATTACCTTTAAAGCGTCAGGACGTAACAAAAATATCTACAGAGGCAGCGGATAAATTATTTAAAAATATTGATCCATATGCCTTCTCGTTTATGCGATTTGTCACTAACAGACATAAGCAAAAGTAAAGTGAAAGAAAATGGCTAAATTGACTTTTGAGGGGTTTCATTGTAAAAGGTAAGCCAGTTCTATCTATCTATACATATAATAAAATTGTAACTAATCCAAATCTATACATTAAATAAATTTTGCAAAATCTTATTGAAATAAACATTATTATTGATACAAAGGCTGAATCTAGAGTTTTTAGAATGTTTGTCTGTCTGTCTGTTACCACATCACGGAAAAACCACTCGAGGGATTTTGATTAAATTTGATATGGTGATAGCTGGTTATCCGGGTCAACATATAGGATACTTTTTATCGCGGGAAAATATCTCGTTTCTGAGAAAAAATACAAAAACTGCAATGTAAGAGTATACTAATATGTAAAGCCTAAGAATTTGGTTTTTGGACATCTGAACGCGTGCGTAGCCGCGGGCAATGCTAGTTTAATATAAATGAAGGTTGGTACTATCGCTATTGTAGCAAACTTAAATGTCATAAATCTACGAAACATTAGTAAATGCCACTAAAAATATGTACACGTACATATGATGTGTAAGTAAAATTGACGTTTTTTTGCCTTAAAACCGTGGTTAAATAATACAATTTTTAAGCAGTCAACAAAACCACTGTCTACAAAATCCTTGACTTTAATATAAGCTAATATAATATAAACATTAAGGGTAATACTGATTTTAACATTATATAGGGGTATAAGAAGGCGTTAATTGACCATGGCCACAGGTAAGCATTGGAATCCGCATAACACTGTCGTTAAACGACATTAATAAAAAACACGTTTCAATGCAATTTTAAACGGTCAATACATAGTTGGACATCAATCAGCATTGAATGGAATTTACCAATTGAAATTATTACTTTATTCCGGAATACGCTAATGATAAACATCATTCTTATGAAATATTTTAAGTATTTTTACTCAGACCTTATCGGGCTTTTTGTAAGATCACATTTGGAGTTTTAGTCAAACAGTGCGTTCGAGTCACTGTCTCTTTCTACCTCCCGTCCTATCGGATCTTGTCACTCGCGAGCGACGCGTGGTTCGTTTAACCGACTCGAAACGTTGCGAGAATGTTACGTTCGAATATATATTCGAAACGATTATATATTTAATTTTTTTATTTTTTTATTATTCTTAGTGCAAAGGAAAATGAGTACGAATTCAAATATCAATGGCGCATCCTCTAAGGAGCCTTCCGGTAGCTTGAGCTCTAGCAGTTCAAATGTGGACCGCGCGGATGATGCTCATGTAAGTGTTTAAATTTTCGCTGAAAACATACTGAATAGAGTTTAATTTACAGCTATTTTTTGTATATTACTATTTTAAATATTAATGTAACGTCAAAAATATAATAAAGTGCATGCATGTAGAGTTCTTTATTTCATTTACGTTTGCACTTCATTTGATATAAAATATGCTATTGTATGAAAACTAGGTGCTCTACCTTAAAACGCTCTTTAAGTTATTGATGGTTTAATTAAATTTTTAATAAATTAAAATAAAAACTATGTAGTTGCAATAAATAATATAATTTTATAAGAAAATATTTATGTTTAACATTATTATGAAAATGATACGTGACTCAATTAAGAGAATAAAAGTAAAAAAAAATATGTCCTTTTATGGATTACGCCTTTCGACTTCCCTCCAACAATTATTTTGGGTATCATATTTTTCACGTAAATTATTAAATAATATTATGTAATCGGATATAATACCGAAGGCTCGTTCAATATGCTCAGAACCTAGATTGCGGTTTGTAACTAGATCTAGGTAATATCACTAGCTAGACTTACCCTATTTCTATTGGCTCTATTTCATCTAAATTAATATTTAAGTCTAATTTACATGTTCTAAGTTCATCTAAGCATAATGCCTAAAGTACTATGCCTAACATTGCGACATAGATATATAATGCATTGATGCCAAGTTTAATGACTCATTTGTTTAATAAGCATTATCTGCTTAGAATAACTAGTTGTTATAAAAAAAATAAAAAATGTAGTGTATTGACACTTTTCTACTTGTAAATGTAGCGGTCGCATGTTCGATGTCAGACTGGTTAAATGTTGGCTTTATCAGTATAGACAGTGGTGTTGTACATAACGTAGGTCACTCATACAATTACAATTAAACTACAAGCCGCCCACGACCATGCAAACAACTTCTCGTAGAAGTATACCTTTTATTTTCAATAATATCAATATTAATATTAATATCATAATTCATATTTTTAATCTCATCAAGTTACATTAGCAACAAACAAACACATTTTTTGCATATTTCTTTACATAACTGCTAAATATGAAACGTAGGTAAACTTTATAGTCATTTATTACAGAACCGACATTTACATATATACGATACTGCTTAAAATACTGAACATATTTCGATAAAATATATTAGTTTTTTATTAGTTACTTTACACCCTGAGATAGGCTACCCTTGAAACTTGCTCTGCTTACCACGTGAGCGAAGCCGCGGGAAACAACTAGTTTTTATTTAAAACTAAATCATAGAAATTTGTGACAACCTGTAATTCTCTGAAACTTCTAATTTATACATATAATAAATTAGCATGGCTTCTAATTTATATGTATTAAACCAGTTATATTTATGTGTACCATATATTTTTTGAGAATTTTATGTTTTACTATGCTTGTGTAATAGGAATCAAATCTAATCTATACTAATATTATAAAGAAGTAAAGTTTGTGAGTTTGTGATGTCGTAGGCGGTAATCTCTGGATCTACTAAACCGGCTTAGATGAAATTTAGTAATAAGATAGTTTGAGACCCTGGGAAGGACATAGGATACTTTTTATCCCGGAAATCATCCCTTAAGGGGGTGACAATGCGAATGAAAGTTTGTATTGGGAAGCAAGCTAGGGACGAACCCGAGCGAAGCGAGGATGAGTCGCTAGTATTTTAATAAGCTTTTTTATCTTTTTTATCTGCTTAACAACATGTCACTTGAACGGATTTTAATGGATTTTTTTAGTGCATAAGTTAGAAAACGCTATTAATTAGAAGCTTAAAGCTTCAATTCAATCAAACGCGGAGAAAAGGGAGGGGAGGAATCAGACAACCGTTACATATAAAAGACATGAAACAAAAAATACATGGCCATAAAAATAATTTGTAAAACACAGAAATGCTAATGTGAGATGTCGATAAATAGTTTTTTTTAAACATTTCATGTTTTATTATTATTTTTTACCTCAGACTATGGAATGCTTATAATTGATATTAATTATTTTTGTATTTAATTTACCTAATTAGCAAGCCATTATTTAAATAATGGGATTCAAATTCTTTTGAATTATATTTTCTATATATATTTTCGACTCACCCCCCTTTCTTTTGGGCTCGTTCTTATGTGATTCTTATAATTGACATAACTTTAAATAAAACCAATACTAAATGTTAACTGAAACTTACACAATGCATTAGTAAAAACCGCACCCAAATCGTTTAAGCCGTTTCTGAGATTAGCGCGCACAAACACACAGACACAAAGATAAAAACTGTAAAAATCATTATTTTGGATTCTATTGCATTAATAAAAACCGCCAAGAATAGTTTTTCTCAATTATGTTCCATGTACAGACAGCGATCAGTTACACTTTTATTATATGTATAGATATCCTATTTATTTAATATACTCAACCATATAAATGTGTACATTTAATTAGTGTTTGTTTTAATTGTATTTATTTAATATACGTAACCATATAAATATGTACATTTAATTAGTGTTAGCCTTTGTTCGCAAGCGCCTTGCTTGAATACCACTTACGCATAGTATTATTTCTAAATGCAAATTTTTGCTCAAATAACAGAGTTATAGAAAATATATTTACGCATTAATTATAATGAATGTCATAAGCACCGATTTATTTAAATAAGCGCTTGATTTCCTTTAGGCTTTAATTAAAAGCGCTTGTAATGACTTACAAAGGTAAAAAAATATTTAAATATCCACCTGAACTCGTCATTTACAATTTGATCTATACATATAATAAAATTTACATTTATTATTATCAACATCGGACATTACTGTGTGCTGTTCTACCCTTCTTCTTCTTTCTACCTTAGAGAGCGATTCCAGTTTTTGAGTGATACCCATACTCTTCCACTTCGCTCTAGTGAAACGTTATTGCTTAAAATTCCTTCTCACTCCTGTTTCCTTACCAACTCCTTCGCAGTAAAGGCTGCACGCTTATGGAATAATCTTCCAATAGACATCAGGCGTGCCAAAAGTTTTGATAATTTTAAGGGACAGTTAAAATCATATTATTTGTCTCTATAGTATCTTATATTGAACTTTTTATACTTTTTCATCTGATCTACATTTATGTATGTATGTATATATGTATGTATGTATGTATGTATGTATGTATTATGTATGTATGTATGTATGTGTGTGTATGTGTGTGTATGAATGTATGTTTGTATATATGTATGTATTTATGTATATCTGTATTTAGGATATGCAATTGTGTGTAGTAAGTACACCGCCTACCATTTCATATAATTTCTCCTACGCCCTAAGGTTGCCTGGAAGAGATCGCTTATAGCGATAAGGCCGTCTGCTGTGCATTATCTATTGTTTATATCTTCTTTTTGTATATTTATTTGTGGTGTACAATAAAGCATCTATCTATCTATCTATCTATCATTATTATCGATACAGAGTCCGAATGTATACTTTTTAGAATATTTGTCTGTCTGTCTGTCTGTGACCGTATCACGGAAAAATCACTGGAGGGCTGTTGATAAAATTTGGTATGATGATAGCTGGTCATCCGGGTCAACGTATAGGATACTTTTTACTGCGGGAAAATATCTCATCTCTGAGAAATCTATACTAAACGTTAAAATGTAACTAGGGACGAACCCGAGCGGAGCGAGGGTGTATCGTTAGTTTTTAATAAATCTCAACATTATCTGTTCATGTTTTAGTCATAATTTGGAGGTCGAGGAGAAGAATTTTAGAAGGTACTTATATAAATTGATATTTAAAATATACTATATACTAGCATTGCCCGCGGCTCCGCCCGTGTTCAGATGACCAAAAACCAAATTCTTAGGTTTTACATATTAGTATAAGTACTCTTACATTGCAGTTCTTGTATTTATTCTCAGAAATGAGATATTTTCCCGCGATAAAAAGTATCCTATATGTTGTCTCGGATAACCAGCTATCATCGTACCAAATTTCATCAAAATCCCTCCAGTGGTTTTTCTGTGATGCAGTAACAGACACAGACAGACAGACAAAAATTGTAAAAACTATAGATTCGGCATCTGTATCGATAATAATAATGTTTATTTCAATAAGATTTTCTAAAAAAAATTTAATGTACAGATTCGGCTTAGTTTCAATTTTATTATATGTATAGACTAGTAAGTAGTGACGTTTCTACGCTTTGCTCAGGATTTTACAATATGCCACGGCAAACATTTAATGTACTACATGACTAAAAAGTAATGGCCTGTGCATTTCTTAAAATTATAAACACACTGCGGGTTTCGTAACATGAAACATTAAATTTATATTATTCATTTACTTCTACTTCTTACTGACGGTACTTTGTATCTTCTTCAAACTAATTTTTCGTTGCTCGTATTTTGGAAGTTCCTTTATCTCAATTTGTTTTAGAATTTTCTAACCCATACTTCAACAAAAAACCATTAAAAACGTCAATTAAATTTTAAACATCTATCCAGACTTACCACACGTTTATATGCTTTTAATTTTTAGTCACCCCTATGCTATATGTACATATGTACTTATATGTACGTATATAAATAAATATGTTGGGACCATAACACACAGCACCATCTAGTTCCATGGTAAGCTACGCGGATTGTGTTATGGATACCAGATAGTTGATACACATAACTTTGAATACATACATATTATAAATATAAACACCCATAACTGGAGTGCAAACATTCGTGCTCATCACACAAATGAATGCCCCCAGCGGGACTCGAACCCGCGACCGCTGGCACAACAAGTAGGGTCACTACAAACTGAGCCAAACGTGTCGTCAAAATATACTTAATGAGTGCACCCCAAGTTTTTATCGTTTATAATTTGACTACAGAATTGTCTAGCAGTTCACATAAGACATCTACCTACTATATAGCTATAGTATTATATTAGTCTTTGAGTTAAATAGCTAAAATATACGGACAAACGGACATGACGAAATTACAAGGGTTCCGTTTCAGCCATT